TGTGACTTAAATTTAAATAAAAGACTTATTGTTTACCGAAAACTTGTAATTACGGCTTAATTATGGCTTTTTTACAATTAATTTATTGTTTAAAATGAGTTCTTCATTACATATTCAATGTATTCATCAATTATTCATTTATTCACTCGAATTCATTATTTTGTTTAAAACAAAATTTCACAAACAGTTCTCAGAAATAATTGTTGACTTTTATTTTATTTCCAAATTATCCAGATTTAAATCAGCATGATTAAAGAGGAATTAGTCCAACTTTTATAATGTAATTCATTTGATAAGAAATTATTTATTTATTTCAGTAAAATTTGAAATCATTTTTGAAAGATTTACAGAAAACTAAACATATTTTATCAATAATTTTACAGTAAAGCAGGTATTGACTAAAGCATCCAAAAATACATTATAAAGCGTTTACCAGTACTTTATAACAATAAACTAATTTGAGTTAAATAATTGTTCGTAAAAACTATCTATTTTAATAATAAAATTATTATGTACTGTAATCAGAGAATTTATATTTAAATTATGCTATAATTTATATTAAATTAAATTTTGTGTTGAGAAAACTACTTGTGCTAGTTTACAAGGTTTTAAACAATGATTTTAGTTAATAATTAATTAAGTAGTGTATATTATTACGTTATAAAACTTTAAATGTGGGTGACATTATATAACATGTAATAATATTACATTGTAAATATGTTATTTAATAATTAAATGATATTGAATTACAAATTAATAATTGTTATTTAAAAAACATTATAATTGGTTAACCGTTTGGCATTAAAAGAAATACATTTATCAGAATATTCTTATTCTTATTGATTAAAAATAATTTCATAAGAATAACATATAATTAAAGAGTAATGTTAACAAATGGGTTACGCAATAAAAAGTAAAGTTAAATATAACATAAATATTAAATAATATTTCCTGATAAAATATTGAAACGTTTTTTAGCATGTAGATGATTAAGCACTGGTTATAACACAATAGGCTATTAATTATATAATAATAATGCCTTAATTTTCGTTTTATAATAACTTATGTTTGATATGATTGGTTTGAACCTAATTTATTAGACGATTAGTCTTTGTTAACAAATGCATAGTTTGAATATTCTGTACAATTTGAATGCATATATAATTCTATATAAATTCATTAATATTTAATTCAGAAATACTAAAGAGTTTCCCAATAAAAAAGGTTTTACATAATTGATTATAAGTATGACAATGGGCTGCTGTTGCATACGCAGATATGCCCATGGTCAATTGGCTTATATCAGTTTATAGCCACGGATCTGAGGTTCACAAATCTGGTTTCAAAGTTTGGGGCAAACATTCGGTTCCGAAGATATCGCGGATCAAGTGAATGACTTTCCCATAGAAACCCATTATAAACGAAATTTTCATGTTTACAATTGTAACTCATATGACCATGGTCGCGGTTCACATATGGAACTTGAGCCTCACATTGTATCGCAGAATCTATAACTTAAACGGGAATTGTGGTCATATCCCGGATTCGGGTATGTGTTTGTAGAGTGTGTGACCACGAGATGACTATTCAGTCATCAAATGTTTTGGTTATTTCACATTTGTGTTAACCCCTCGTTGTTGTGCAACGAGAGGTCTTTTTAAAAGCAAAATTCTATGCCATTATATTATTTCTATAGAAGATTTTGTGAAAATTTACTAATTCACATACTTTAAAATAAGATATTGAAAATTTACTTCTTGCCTTTAGTGACCATAAACATTACAGTATGGCGTATTGATTTAGATAATAATTTAGGTAAATTTGACCGGTGCACAACGGCCAAGGGGTTTAACAAAAATCTGAAATAACCAAAATATCCGTCCTAGGGACATTATGAATTTTATGATAAATTTTATAAAAAGCAACCAAGTTATAAATCAAAGCAGAAATCCCTTTAAATGGAATTATGCTCAAGACTGTATTAATATTAATACATTTTTATCATTTTAATTTCGAAATTTGCAAATTTATTTTGAAGAGTTGCAAAATAATCTAATTATAATCGGTTTAAAACTCATAAATATTCAGTGTTTTGACAAAAATGATGGAAAGAAGTGTCATTTTGAAGGCTTTGATAATATTTAATATTTTATAAATTGATTAGTTTATAAATTATTTTCTAACATAAACTAAATATGATCTATGGTAACTAGTAAATTGGCAACAAATTAATTATATTAGTACTAATTGTTTAGAAACTATCACATTTAGTTGTGCATATGTTCTGCTATAAAATGCATATATCGTCAAAATAGCGTAAAAATGAGAGGATTTACTAATTATATTATTACAACATTACCGTAAAAATAACGCAATTCTATGAATTATATAATAATACATAACATAGTTATAAATATAAATTTAATCAATTATATTATATGTTATTAATGCTTGAATGCATGACTGAATGGCAAATATTATGTAACGAAAGAAAAATTAAAAACACAGAATATTGTGGAAATGCTTTGGGAATACAAAATACAAAATAAACAAAAATATTTACTTTTCAAACAATAAGTAGTGAAAGAATTGAATTAGAATTTTACGGTTCAAAGCATTTATATTTAATGTTATTACAAACCAATGGGTTTTGGATGGGTTTAGCTAACAGTCAATTATTTATACATTTATGTATAAACGGTATACCAATTGTTGTCAATTGGTCTCAATTAGCAATTTAAACATTACTATTAATAACAGCATTAATACTATTACTTTCCATCTCGAAAACAACGTCAATAATGAGACCATTTTTCACAAATACTTTTTCATTAATCAAATATTTTTATTAAACAATTTTTACAAAAAACAAATCACAATCAAAGAGATGACTGAAGACTAACAGGCATTTGGATCTAATTGAGTGGTAAAAGCATTACAAAAGTAGTGAATGAGAGATACAGTGGACACCAATCATGAGATATATAGCGGACATCAATGTTGTTGTTGTTGTGAATGAGATGTGATATCGAAGTGGAGTTCGCAGACATCGGCGGTCCTAACGATCGCACACTTCTCTAAACCAATCGGTGTCTCAAAGGAGGTGACAAACACTTGACTCAAGTCGTGATCGCATCCGTCGAAAGTGGCCGACAATAGTAGCGGACATTCGTATAGCTTTAGCCACACTTTCCTCTTATGAAGAGAAGACAATAGTCTTAAGAAGTCTCGTCTCAGCTCTGATCTGATGGCCTGTTGTGGTAATAATGTCTTCGATGTGTTGGGACTCATGAGGGGTGATGTCGACAGACAGGATGTGGTGGTGACGACCGGTGTCTTATCGATGCCATCCATGGCTGGAGTGGACTGCGGAGGTCGTGTGTGGACCGCATCGGCCTTATTGTCCACCTCTTCATCACTTAAATCACACAAATTATCCATTCATTCATTCATTTGATCCAATGTTGACATCAATTGAGACAAACATTAATAACGTTTGCATTCATTTCACACCAAAATTGTAATCATTTTTATATTTTAAACGTTAAAAACAAACGCTTTTGTAATTAGATGTAAATTTCAATAATCTTTTAGTGTTTATAAAAATATATTTTTAATTAATTGTAATTTAAGGACAAAAATAAATTGTTTGCAACAAAAACCAAAAGTGAGTGAAATTTTTGTGATAAAAACATCTGATTTTAATGCCATTTAAAGTTGTGATGATTTTTGGCGCAAAACTAACAAAACGATTGTTTGAGTGATAAATATCGTGAAGAAAGCCATCGATTGGTCACTAAATGATGGATTCAATGAACCATTTGATGAAAGAGTTGTCGAAATTGGTTCTCGAAGACAACAAATGTGTCTGTATTTTGAGTTACCCTTCATTTCAATGCCATAACTAATTGTTTGGTTAAATTCAATACAGATTTCCTACACTTATATTAGCGTTAAATTCAGACTTCATGTGAAACAAGCGATTGAGTGAGTCTTCAGACAATGTCCACAACATATCGACCATTGATTTAATGATCATTTGTTTTAGGCTTTTGGACCAATTCGTGAGCGAAGAGCGCAAGAATGGCAACCATTTGTGTCTTAATTACTTGTTGTCCGGAAATAATGACACGAAGACTGACGACAACGAGACTAAGGTTTTTATTGATATGATTTGATGGTTGGCTTTAAATGTGATTTCTTTGTCAAACAGATGGAGAGATTCATGATTCTGGAGGAATCAGAGGTCGAATCGGCCACCGAGTGGTTCCACAATGGAGTCAATAAACATATATATAGTGTTAGTTTGACTGAAGACAACAATTCAATTGATCTTAATATCAATGAATACGAGGGCGATGTGAAGGACCAGAACTATATCAATGATCTCCAGAAGTATTTTAATTGATTTATTGATTTGTAAAGCAATTAAATAATAATTGTTGAATATATTCATAGCTTAACGTATATCAAGAATCCAAACATTAATCTTCGGACGACTCGTCGGAGAACTGGAATCAAACCAACGGTTGATATTAAAGAAGAGAAGAAAGACGAGGAGAAGAAGAGTTCATTGAATGGCAAACAAGTGGTGGAAAACAAGTCTAAACCCAAAAACAATACTAAAGGAAAGGGAAAACAGAAGAATAAGATCTCAAATATGTTCTCAAAGAATAAAACGGTTGAAAAAGAAGAGAAAGAATCGACTGAAGCGACGAACGAAAGCGACGATCCATTTAAGAGTGACAGCGAAGAAGAGACCAAACCTGAGGTCAAAGACGAAGACATGAATGGCAACGACAGCGCCGAAGAAGTTGTGATAGAAAATGAGCCCAAAGTGAATACGAAGAAAAGGCATTCAAAGAATGAGTCGAACGATAGCTCCGACGAAGAGATCGTTAGAACTAAAAAGAGGGACAAAAAGTATAAAAGAGTTCGTCTCATATCAGACAGCGATTCCGATGAACCAAAAGAGTCAGCCATTGATAAGTATGTGAAGACTCGAGAGGTTAACCAAAAGCCTGTGAAGAAAATGGAGAAGAAACAGGAGACACACGTCGACGAAGACGGATATCTTGTCACCAAAACTGTCACAAAAGAAGTTGAAGTCAACACCGAATCCGATGCGAAACCTGTTGTGAACAAAGAAAAGCCTAAACCTATAAAAGAGGACAAAATTGTTGAAAAGAAGTCGAAACCGAAACCAATAAATGATAAGAAGAATAAAAATCAGTCCTCTATTACCAGTTTTTTCAAACCGAAACAGTTATCGACTTAACTCTACTCTTAACATTACTCTTACCATTATTCTTAACTTTTACTCAATTAGCATTTGTATGAATTTATACTAACAATCATTTATATTTTTATCATAATTACTATTATTTTTGATTCGAAATAAATAATTTTTTCAATAAATTACAATATATTATATGTTTTGGTGATTAATGTAATGGTTATATGAAAAATGGATCAATTTATATATAAAATTGGGATTTTTATATATGATTGGAAATATTGTTAAATAAATTTAATATAAAAAGTGCAGTATTTGTAGAGCAGTTGGTCTTATAGCTGATGCCTATCTATTCAATGATTCCGTCACTCAATTCTAGTCTAATTATCAAACTTTTAATACTATTCTAAATGCAAACAATCAATTCATTCATGTTTTTTAATAGAAATCATATGTCATTTTGTCGCACAAAGTGTTTGTAAAGACATCCTTTATTCTGAGCGAACGCTCAAGTCTTTCAACTCGAGTCTTGCAATTCTGAGTACATCTTTGAGGAAACCTTTTCGCACGTTTGGCCCACTTTTCAACAAATTCTGTCACAAATTAAAACAGTTATTAGACATGAGTTTCGATACAATTAGACATCGAAAAAAGTTGAGATATAAAGTTTGGGTTTTGAATTTTCTCCTTTTGTTAACTTTGTTTGTAAAGTATGGTTAAGAAATGAACAGTTCAATTATTGTCCACAAATCGGCATCGTTTTAGCAATATCTATAAATAGAGTAGTAGTGATGATAACTAACTTGATTTTGTGGCCCCCAATAGTTTAAATTTAAATGTTTGCGACAAAGAGTTGTATTCGTCTTGAGTTAAGTATTGTTGAGAAAAGTCGGCTATTTTTCCTAAAATTATCAACAAATTTATATAAACACAATGAATGGCACTAATGATGGAAATAATGAATGGATTCATACCATCCTTGACTGTAAATGAATACAAAGTAGTGCTTCTATTGGTAGCCCTGGTCTGGAAGGCGTACTGATAGTAAGCACTGTTACTGCTTTGGGCGTGACTTCGGTATACAATTGTGTCCATTTTCATGGCAACACAAATTGTCTCATTCTTCGTGACCTCAATATTCTCATTGTTAGCACTTTTATTGCTTCTTCCGATCGCCGACTCCTGAATCTGCCGCTCGTTTTGATTGTCTGTAAGCTTTTGGTTGTCTATAAAAATCCATAGAAATTCTTAATGACTTGAAAGACAAAAAATCAATAATAAGCTAAGAAACAGACCATTTGTTTGGTCGACACAAATAGGACAGCACTGGCCTTGAATTGGTTTGGTTTTGAGACACGATGTCTTGAGATGGGAGTGACATGTGATTCGCGAACACTCAACGGTTCCAGAATTGCAGACACAGATAACGCAATCCATTTGCCCGAATGGGCCAATAATGGGGTGCCATTTGGCTCCGTTCTGATGCATCTTTTCGCCTGACTTACAATCATTAGCATTAAATGCCTGATAAGTGCCCGAAGAGTCGTCATTAGGACTATAAATGGTGACTAAATGACCCTCTTTTTTGATGTAATTGTCTGAATCACTGATTGGTTTGTCTATAAGACAGATAAACATTTATTTGTTTGATTCAAAGCCTCTTAACATCAGATTATTAGACAATCAACGGAATGCTAATAGACTCACAAACCTCGACAGTTAGCCCTTAATGGACAACAATCTTCATTAAAGCCATTGCTATCGTCGCCAACACTGGAACAGCTGTCGGCATAACAAGTCTTGAGTCTGCAGAGGACGAGTCCGGCCTATAATCAAGATTTAGGGTTATATACAAAGTTATATCATATATTAAGTCTCTCTCTCTCTCTCTCTCTTATATAAGCATTACTTCAATTCGACGATATATAAGGTTCACACGTAATGTGTATTCAAGTGAATGGATAAACAATTTTAGTATCAAGTGTTTCAGTCTCTCTCTCTCTCTCTCTCTCTCTCTCTCTCTCTCTTCCAGACCTGACAAATGCATTGAACGCATTGATTGTCAGAAATCCTATGAATGGCTGATGTGTTTGAAGCGAAAATCTGATTGTCTTCGTATGTCCTGCCGTTGTGTTGACATGTATTGGTTGTTATTAATGGTCTCTGAGTTGTGGTCTTCATATTAATTATATTCACTTGACTTTTAACATGACTGTGAATCTCAACTCTTTTTGTTTCATCAGTTTCTGAGATAAAAACCATAATTTATTATATTTTACTAAATGCTAACATTTAAGTGATTTTCATCGCAAACTACATGTCATAACAATATTAATATTTCTAAAGTAATGACCAGAATATTCCAGACATTCAATTACTGCTAAATGTTATGTAAACATGAATTGACAATTAATTACAGCCTAAACGTAGAGTACAAACACGTGTATACCTATGCACTGTTGACAGCATCCTTTATCGAGATCAGACAATTGATCCGCCGATTCGCATACTTTTATGAGTCCATCACATGGTTTACTCGTGCAGTTGGACTTCCCTTCCTAACCATCAGAAATTTACATGTTTTTGTGAACAATTCTTAGGCATTCAATACAAGAATTGTATCAAGAATTTTGTTAATTTGCAAAATATCTTAAATCTTATTATTGTTTTATACAATATAAGTTATATCATAAAAAATATTCTTTTAACTTATTTAGTGAACTCGAAGAATGGTTTGTCATTTATTAAAATAAATAAGTAAATGACATTGAAATCATTATAACTTTATTTGATATACTTTGAAAACTTTATTGAATGAATGAAATTCATAGAAAAGTGTGAAATAATTGTATGTTTTGTAAATGAATGTAAGGAATGAATGAGAATATCGACAAACTTGAGCGCAAACACAGGCCACACAATAAGACATATGATGTGTGTCTAGTCTTCTGAACCAACTCTCGCCCAATGGATATTTGGTGCCAGAAAAGGGACACCACTTCGACGGTGGTGTTTGAGCGCTGTCTTCATTGATGTTAGATTTGTCTACAAATGGATATAAATATAAATAATGATAAGTAGTCTGTGTTTTCAATGTCTCCCAAGCCTTCATCAGTCTCTTTCTTCAATCAATTAGATTCTCTCTCTCTCTCTCTCTCTCTCTCTCTCTCTNTCTCTCTCTCTCTCTCTCTCTCTCTCTCTCTCTCTCTCTCTCTCTCTCTCTCTCTCTCTCCATTCATCCCTTTCTACAATAGACATCCCATTAAAAGATAAGAAACATCGGAGGGCTAAAGCAATGCTAACATAAAAACATTTGGGAATATTTTGATCATTAGGTCGACTCTATATATCTCTTAATTGACTTCAATTAAATAATACAAAACAATTTATAATCTTTAGTTAAATGAGATTAACATATAATAGAAACACTTCACTATATGTAGACTTATATAACATTATATTGTTGTAGAAATAGAGTGCAAATATACTACGAATAGAAAGCATCAAGTTTTATTATACTAAATGAACCCTAAACTATAAAAGTGTTGTAAAAATCTGTAAATACAGCACCAAATCTACATTATATTATGCAATTCAGTGTTACTAATGATATATTGTGACATAGAATGCACACAACAGTATTTCAACGCCCATGTTATTTAATTAAATTAAAAACTACATTAAATATTTCAATTTTTAGAACCAAAATGTATAGCATATAAGACCTGTATTTAATATTTTTAGACAAATATTAAATAAGAAATTTAAAAATAAGATATAACATTAGTTAACATTAGAATTGAATTAACTTATACAATTAACATTCTGTTAGATTTCATTTAAAATAACATATTAAACAAATAGATTACTAAAATATTCAAGAATGTAAAACATTATGATATTACAGTATTATATTACAACTATTAAATTTTTGTAATCCCTTATATAAATTACATCATTAATACAAAGTAAACGGTTTATGACGTATGCATTTCAAAAATAAAGAGCGTTACACACAAAATCACACACAAAACCGTTACACAATCAGGGGGTGGGAGGGGTTTGCCATAGGATTTGCCTATAGAAGGGGACAGAAGGGGACAGTTTGTGTAACACGACCGCGAGAATGAAGTGATTGTGTAATGCAGTGATTGGCTGTCTCTGTCTCTCTCTACAACGTCATGCTGACGTCAAACGCGTCATTGTGTCTCTATTTCTCTCACTTACATGCTATACATGATATAATATACAGTATACAATTATACAATACAATATCTGAGTGCATGTATTACTGTACATTATATTACTGTGTAGTTTGTATTAGTCATTGATATTGTATATGCGATCAAAAATATAAATAAGTTTTATATGAAAAGTAAATGTAATGAAATAAAACGATTTAAATGTGATTTTAATAATTGTAATAAAACTTATAAATGGAAAACAATTAATGTATCACAAAAATATAATTCATTTAAATAAAATTTATTTGTGATTTCAATGAATGCCACAAAAGTTTTACAACAAACGATATTTACTTCAACACAAAATGTGTTCATTTAAATGAAAAGTTATTTAAT